CAATGGATTAGCGAAATTATTTGTTTGAGTGATTGATCATTATTAACTGAACAGGTTAATTACTTTTACTGTTCTTTCTGAATCGAGTGTCACTAAAAATTAATTCAAACTTCAAGAAAAGAAATGGATTTCTGTGAACACGCCTCATGCATGTCAACAAGAAGTCCCATTCAAAACCGTCAACCCATGATGATGACTTCATTAACCTTCAACATGGTGGGAAGATTGGCATCTTAGTATTATTTAGGTATGATAATGAGTTCTCATTACGTCACAACGCCCTGGAATTACTATTGCTTTTAGTATTTAAATTATGCTTTAGTGAATGCTCTTAATTGATTTTTAATTCTATATTATTTGAAAAAGTATTATTTTTTTTATATGAATTATATAATACTAGGTGTCTGGGACATTTTTAAAAAAAATTCGGGTCGTGTGTTTTTGACCTCATCATTGGCAGGTCATATCATTTGTAGATTATTATTTAAATAATTTCAGTTTGAGAATTTTAATTTTTTTTTCATCACCTGTGAAAAAGGAATGCAGTTTTTATTGTGACGAAGATTAATAGATTTCTTCATGAGAAAAAAAATATGGTCAAAGCTATCAAAAAAATGGTAAAATATACCATGTTTATGTCTCTATGAAAGTACCAAAAATCACCGAGACTTTTATCGAAGCTCTCTGGTAATGATTTTGGTAAAACTAACAATAAAATTTAATTTTATAATATCTGTTAAATTTTGGTAATTTTATCATGTGACTTTAGTTAGAGTAACCGATTGATCGGTAAAATCTACTTTTCAGATTTGTATTTTTTACTAAATAGGTGGTAATAAGAACTATAATTTTAAAAACTAGAATTTCCTGTGAACCGTTACCATATGAACGGAAATATTACCAAATGACTGGTTAAAATATAGTACATTTTGGTTTTTATAACCAGAATTAATTTTTTACCAGAAAAATCATTTTCATACAGTACGGTAATTTAAAGAGAATTTCTTCTCAGCGTGAAAATAGTAAATGTATAGCAAGCTACGAAGCTATTTATTTTTGCGGACCCCCAAAAGTATATATTTTTATGTATTATTATTACAAATATTTGTAATTCGTAATGAAACAAATTATTGCTTATTTTTTTAGCATTACTACGAATTTTCATATATCTTATAAGTATATATTATCATAAAATATTATTAAAAATTCTTGAAAATCTTATTAGTACATATTGGATAATCTTAATAGTATGTACACCACTACTCTCAGAACTAATGTTGCTTTTATTATTTAAATTTTGTTTTAGTGAATGCCCTTAATTGATTTTTAATTCGATGCTTTATTAATCTCTTTTTTTTAAGCTACATTTTGTCTGGAAAATTTAAAAAAAAATCAGGTTGTGTTTTTTAAGGCATGTCCTTATCAGGTCATGTCATCTGTATATTATCATTCGAATTTGTAATTATTGCAACATATTATTATATTGAAACATATTAGTGGGAATTACTTTATTATTGAAATTATTTGAAAAAGCACGTATGTATAGTTGCATTTTTCTATAACAATCAACTTCAGATTGATGGGTACTATTTTTTCTGGAAAATAAAGGCGGCCTGTGTGCGATCTTTATTGTCACTATTCATGCTTCTTTTAGTTCTGAAACTGGGGAACCTTAATTTTAATACTCTGACCAACATGTGACTGCTGTGTGATTACATTTTTTTCGAATTTTTCAAATTATTTCAAATCTTGAAATTTATTTATTAGCAATATTGTAGATTATTTCCAAATTATTGAACTAAACAAAATCAGACATGAATAATTTTTATAAAGATATTAAAATGATATGACCATATGTAAGAATGAGGTATACTTGAAAGTGCTTGGTTTTTCATATTTATAATGCATAGATGTTTTGTATTTTGTTTATCTTTGATGTTGGAAAGAAATTTTAATATAGGATTTTTATTTTTTTTAGGTAGAAAATTTTAAATTAATAAAATAAAAATAAAAAAGTTTAATTAGAGGTTTTTTGATGCTTTTTCAAAGAGGGTGGTTAAAGTTTTCTCCTTAAAAAATGTTACAAATGCATATTAAAGGCATAAATTATTATTTTTTAATGAATCTAAATTTGTTTTTATTAGCGAAATCTAATAAAGAATTTGCTTGTGCGTAAGTCTGCATACCGGATATACCGTAGGCACTAAAATATGATCTTAAACCTGAAGCTAAATGAGTAAATTTGTAAACAAATTACGAAGCCAGATTTCGGATGACCCAATAAATCACGTATTCCTATTTCTAAAAAATAGATTTTCACTGGTTTTCAACTCCTACGCTTCATGAAATGATTGATATCTTTCTTAGTGAAAAAATAAAATTTGATATGAATTATAAGTACGATAAGCTTATAACTATATTACATAATTTAATCGCATCAGTTTATTTGGCCCATTTTTTTAGTGAAAGTTCTTTCGCCTAAAGAAGTGATTGACGTTGCTTTTTCTATCGTGAGTCTCGTGATATCGTGAATCGTATTTTGATTAATCATCTTGAACCCGGATCAAACTAGGAAGTATAAATTATAAGGGTTTCTTTAACATGTGATATTTGTGTTTAGAATATGAACAGGTTCAAAATTAAATTTTTTTATGTGTCATATAAAACATTTTATACGAGATTAATACAACTGTAAGTGCATAGATTTTTTTTTGCTAGCACTGTAGCACAGAAATATATAATTTGATCAATTACAGTACAAATTAATGTTTTAGCTCTCCTCATTTCAAAGAAATATTTATTAAAATTGAATTAAATTTATCTTTATGAATCACCGGAGAAAAAGAAAAGTGGACTTAAAAAAAGGTTCTTTTTTACTTGTTTAAAAAATCTTATTTCGTGAGTGAGCCTAAAACATCTATTCTTTGGCTTTTTGATACTATTAAGAACAAGGTCAATACAAATAAGTATGAATTTTACTGCGATATTATATATATATATGTTACTGTCAAAGTATGAAACTCCGGCATTGTATAGAATGCCGGATGTTTTTAGACAAACTATGAAATGTGAGAATTAATACATACTTTCCCTAGGCATTGTAAATAATGCCTAGGCATTCTATAGAATGACAAATGCTATTTAGGCAAAGTATGAAATAAACGCCCTGATGAGGTTATTATGTAAATGATGTGCATGTTACTGTGAATGGCCGAAATTGGTGGTTGTTGACTTTCACCGGTGAATGTTGACAATCACATAGTCGCTTTGGTGAATGTCCGAAATATTTATTACATCCGATTTGATATTAATTTATTCGTGGATATAATTACATTTATTCGATATTTTAATACTTACTGACCATAAATTAGAAGAAACATCAGTGCTTAGAGTATCGGGCAAATATGTACCGGGCAATGGCACTTGACCTTAAAAAAACATCAGTGTAGGGTATACCGGGTAAATGTATGTCGGGCAGTGGCACTTGACCTTAAAAAACATCAGTGTAGGATATATCGGGCAGTGGCACTTAACTAGACCTAGTATGACTAGACCTTTGGTAAATGTCCGAAATATATACTAGGTCTAGTTAGTACCACTGCCCGGTATATCCTAAACTGATGTTTTTTAAGGTTCAGTGCCACTGCCCGGTATGCATTTACCCGGTATTTATCTTCGAATTTATTGTCAGTAAGTATCAAAATATCGAATAAATGTACTTTATCGTCAGTAAGTATTCAAAAATATCGAATAAATGTAATCTATTGTCAGTAAGCATTAAAATATCGAATAAATGTAACCTATCATCAGTAAGCATTAAAATATCGAATAAATGTAATTATATCCACGAATAAATTAATATCAAATCGGATGTAATAAATATTTTGGATATTCACCAAAGCGACTATGTGAATCTTGACATTCCCCGGTGAAAGTCGACATTCTTCAGATTTCTGTCAGTAGAGATGTATTTTATACTTTGCCGGCTAATTTTAGGCATTCTATACAATGCCTAGGCATTCTGTACAATGCCGGATTTCATACTTTGCCGGTAACATATATATTAAAAGAATAATATTAAAATAATATAAAAATTAAAAGTAAAGTAGGTCTCCAGAAAATAGCATTTTTTTATGTTGTAATACAAAGAAAGCTTAATTCTTGCGACCAGTTCAAAAATTTATGCAAGATATGTATTCTTCCATCATCAGCATGACAGCCTAGTACAGGCCTGAGACGTCCTAACTATAGTCGCTTCCCTCTGATTTGATCAGACACTAGGTTTCTCCATCTATTAATGTCCATGGTTTTAAGATATTTTTCCACAGAATCTATCCATCTGGTGTTTGGTCTTCCCCTTTGTCGGTTGCCAGTAAACTTTCCAAAAATTCGTTTCTTAACTGAGTCACTATCAAAATATAAAATAAAATCTATGTTGAATCATAATATCGCTCAAATTTTCTACAATGACTTGCGCTATGATGAACCGTAGTGTCTCACTTCTTCAACTTGATTACATAATAATACACTTGGAAATAATCATAGTTCAATTTAATAACTTAATAAGGTTCAATAAATTTTTTATCGTATTATGGCTCAAGGTGTTTCATAAATGAACTGATTTTTCCAAGAGAGAAATTAAAAGTAAGTATCAACAAATGGATGAAAAGAAATAATTTTTTTTTTTTGCATTTAAAAAAAAATTACTCCAAGAACTCATCAGGGATTGAACCAAAATCAATTGCGATATCTGAAAACAATAGGGATTAATTTCACTACAAAAGATATTTCAATTAAGATGAAAAGGAAGAGAAAAAAAAGTGGAAAATGTTTTTAGAAAAATAAGTTTCATTACATTTATTATCTTCTTTAACGCATCCATTGTCCCGAATTATTTTTCACAATGCAAGTAGGCTTTAAAACTGAAATAAAAGTTAAGATAGATATGTTAACACTTTTTTAATATAAGCTTATTAATTAGCTTATGATTTCTCTTGCAGAGCGAAAGCAGGATATTAAAAAGATAACTGGGCTCTAAGGTCACATGATGCGAAAGTAAAATGAAAAGAAGAAATATTGTATCATATTTTAGAATATAGTATTTTATAGTATCATATACAGTTTGAGAAGGTAAGGACGAATTTATTTATTTATTTATATTATTCATATAAATCATATGTTTTATGCTAAATCTATGTATTTTAAAATTACATATTATACGTCTTAAAATAACATAAATTATCAATTCAACCTATAAAAAATAATTTAACCATCAAAGAGATAATATTGTAGTAACTTTCTCAACAATAGAGATGTCTCTTTCTTCGCCATTTTTGATTTTAGGTTAATTTTTCATTTGCGTTTTTTGTTGTTGTTGTTGTTGATATTTTTCGATTTAAATCAACTTTTGATGGTTGAATGTTATTCGACAGCACAACACCATTCAGAGAAGATTAAAAAGAAGATTCGCTTTATTAGAGTAAGGAAAAAATAATGCTTGATCATTTTTAGAACTTCTTTTGATTTTCAAGTTTAAAGTTTTTTTTTTTGGTTTTGAGTAAGTTATTTGAAACTACACATTGTTACGTGTTGAACTAATGAAAACTGATTTGATGATACTAATTTTTTTCAATGTAAATTATGTAAAAACAAAGATAGGTATCAAAAATCTAAAACTATACAAATGCATAATGCTAGACTATCTTTTAAAAAGCTGAATACATTAAGGAATTGCTATTTAGCTCACAAATTTAGTGCGTATCCCCTACTCGGGATTTCGAAGTTCAAAAACTCATCACGGAATTTCACATCACGGAAGCAAACACCATTATCTGTAGGAGTTTGTGGAGCATAAGAAAAAATAAAAACAATAGTTTAATAATCAAACTTAACATTTAATAAAAAAAAGGAAATAAGTTTAACAGCGATATCATGACTGGTGAGAGCTGCCTACATGCAGGGTTGCCGGATCAAGTAATAATGCGAAATTAGATTGTTCTATGGAAAATAGTTAGAATTAATTATCAATTCGGGACTTTTCCTGCCTAGAATTTTCGGCTCCGTGGATACCGGGGCTTTTCCTTCTGAAGAGGCTGGCGCCTTTCAGCGAGGAAGTAGATGATGCAATTCTTCCAAATATTGCAATAATATCAGAAAAAATTATTAATAGCCACTCTAAAATATTGCACACTTTTTATCTAAATTGTCTAGGTAGACGGCCTTGTATTTTAAATTTTTTAAAAGATACAGACTAAATATCCACCATCAGTTTATTCGCTCAGTTTATGGGATAAAATGAAATGAAAATGATTAAAACTCATTTAGAAATTTCCTTTTCAATTTTCATTCCTTTGACAGTTTCGGGAAGAAAAAATAGTCTCTTTATAGACCTGTATTAACATTAAATTTTAAACGGGATAATCTTCATACCACCCTTTTTTAAGTCAAAATAAATGATATTTTTCAAAAAATATTTTTGTTGATCGTGATATCCAAGATATGTATAATAATATATTTTACATTGTAGTTAATAGTCGTAGTGGTACTTTATTTACGTCGCACTAGAGCTGGGGGTTATGATTACGATGGGTTATTATACAAATCTCTGAGGACGATCTGAAGATATGCCATCACTTACCTCAGCTGAGAGAACTGCTCCCCGCTTTGTTAGCACGACGACATGTGCGTGACGTCGAGCACTTTAAGGTAGAACAGTTTCACGAAGATCGATACGACACCTCGGTTCATTTGCAGGGTGATCAAAGTAGTCACCCACCCGCTCAATGACAGACTAGTCGTGCTTGACTTCAGTAATCTACTGACTACAGCGTTTTATGATCAATCTACTTTAGTCATATCATATTTTTAAACATATTGGCGCTAAATTTGAGTAACAAATGTATTTTTCGTTGCCAAGTTATGCATATGCAACTTGAAAATTCCTGCTCCTTGTAAATGTCATTGACATTTTACATCGTGACATGCTTACTGTAAGAGCCTTCCGTGTTTTCAATTTTTTCTGATAATTTTAAAGGATTATTACAATCAGTATAGGGGCCGTTCAAAAAGTACGTACATCCCGAAGGGGGGGAGGGGACTCAGTTGTGCTCTATTGAAAACAAATTACCCTCTTTCCCTGNCACATGCAGGATGTACGGTAATGTACGACGGGAGGGGAGGGGTTTAAAATTTCTCCATTTTTGTGTGCGTACTTTTTGAACGGCCCCATATGTATCTTTAGGCTGGTTCGGAAATAAGTAAAAAATTCCTCAGACTAATTTGGTTAAGGCTTATTGAAATAAACCCTCAATAAGGCTATACACAATAAGTATTCACTTCTCTGGGCTTATTGCAAAACGTCCGTAAAAGAATGAGATTGTTAGTTAAATTAATTTGTTAAAGGAAACTAAATAAATGCGAAATTTTAAATTATAGAAAAAAGCAAATCTACTTCGATGAATAATTAAAATTATGTTTTAGTAACTTTCATTGATTTCCAAAATTATTTTCATATGAATATTAATGAAGTATTCTGTACGCGAAGTATTAAATTTTTTTTATTAAAAAATTTATTTACAAAAAAAAAACACATTTTTAGCCTTTAAGGAGAATGAATATATAGGTTGAAAATAAAATAGGTGGTAAATATGTGATATGAATAAATATGGAAGAATTTACCCCTACCCGCCCTTATTTAGGGCATACGGGTAAAATGAATAAATATGAATAAATATGCTAAATATTGGTGTTATTTGATCATTTTGAAAATAGCGGTTATGCTTTTTTGAACCAGGGTTTCGTTAAAGTTCAACAAACGTGTAATCAAGTCTAAGATGTGCCATACTTTAATTTAATCTCAAAGTAGGGTTGCAACAGAGTCAAACAAAACTGTTTCAAAATTTTTATTTAAATATACTTATAAATCAATCAAATTCGTTTTTTTTTTGAAAAAAAAAAAACTTAATGAAAAAAAATATGTGTAGCGCAAATTTTAATGACAATATGAAATTTTCTTGCTTTAAATATTGTGAAAGTTTGTTCAAAATCTACAATCATATACTACGAAATTTATTCAAATATAGTTGAAAAACGGAACCATCATTTAAATCATATTAGTTCTTAAAACATCACATCAGAAATTTCGAAACTCAATCCATGCAAACATGATTGAGCCTGTCGCGTCTTTTCAGACATCAATATTTATCTTTCAGATTGTTGGCGAAGTGTAATATTTTTAGCATTAATTAGAGAGTATAACTTCCTGCGGGGTCTAAGTCTTGCAAGATAAAGTACGATATCATGCCAGGAAGTGATAGCTGACCGTTAAAGGTTAATAAAAGTAATGCTGCTGAGATATGTCACCATATTTAAATAGACTTTTTTCTATTTTGGTAGCGATATCTCTTGAAAGTTTAGTAATCTGTTTGTATAGAGTTTATTGATCAGTATTTAAGACGATATGTGTATGTTTAAGAAAAATAAAGTTAATTTTCAATAATGAGCAATAAAGTAATTTTCAAAAACTCTGAAAAATATCGGTTCAAATTGGAACCAAATTGCACCGTAATGTTAAATAATTAATACAATGAAACTAAAGCGAATGAAATATAAACTTCATTAAACTTTCATTGGCTTCAAAAGATATCAAAATGGTAATAAAAATCCACATGCTTTAAGCGCTCAAAAATAGGCGCCCATTCTCAAGAATTGTTGAAAGGGAAAAAGAAAAACAAAAGTGATTTAAAACATAAAAAGCAAACTTACTAACGAAAAATGGAGAAAAAGGACAATAAAAATTAAAACCAAAGCTAGAAAAACCGTAGTAATTGAGAGTGAAACAGAAAAAATTTTAAAAAATGTCTAAAAAAATCCCTGGGAAAACCGTTGTGTCTAAAAGAGACGAAACAAGAAAAAAAATTCTGTTTTGCATTTCTTGTCTACTTTTTGTTAGCAACTTTGCATTTTATGTTTCAAATTACTTTTTTTTAATGCTCGTGATCAGCAAGTCTTGAGGATGGACACCTATTTTAGAGCGCTTGACTTTCATTCGCAAGACTTTCATTACCATTTCCATGCTTTTTGAAGCCAATATTTGTAACCAAGTATACCTTAATAAGGTGTTAAATTGAATTATGTTTCAGTTTAACTTCAACAAAAATATTATTATCATTTAATACAGTTTAAGCAGTTAGATAATAAGATCTAATTAAGTACTATATAAAGGCTGCAGTTAATTTGAACGATGGTTCAATACGCTCCAAATTTTCTAAATGTTCAGTTTGTTGATTATCTTTATGAAATCATATTTTACCTTAAGTTCTTAAAAACTTCTACGAGTCAAATCTCATTCATACATCCGAGGGTATTCAGGGAAATTATTTCTAAGATAATCCTGTTAATTAGAGACGACGGTGGAAAATCTATACCGATCAGAAAAAGACTAGAGAATATGTTGTTGAGATTTTGACTAACTATGTTGAGATTTTGACGATAACGATAAAGATTTTTACCGTGATGAGTTACACTTTATTTTCTAAAACTACGTCAGCCGAGCATGTGATCTTTGAATTTCATTAAAAAGTCTAAAATCTCAAATGGTGAAATTTTCATTGAAACTTCGGCATTATCCCATTAATACACCTTAGTTAGATAAATAGCCGCAATACAGCCAACATGAGTTAGATAAATAGCCATTTATAGTACTGATGAAGATGTGCCATTGTGACATTGAAACGCGCATAAGTTTTGAAAAAAAATTTACCACTTGTGATTCTAAACCATGTTTTTAATAAAATAAAATATTATCACTTGGAATTACTTTTAAAATTATGTACGATATTTGATTTAGAAAATCCCCATTTTGACAAACTCTTTCTACACGAGATTGTTTGAACTCTGAAATAAAGTCACAGCACTTAAAAATAAATATAGCAATGGAATCTGTTAAGGAAAAAAATAGGTGAAAACTGTAAACGTGATCTAATTCTTTACCATTTAAAATTTCGAAATGAGTTGTGCAAAGGCTGTAAAAGCTGTTTATGCACTCTAAGTTTGTCATAGCCAAAAATTATCTCGCTATCGCAGTGTAGAAGTCAGGAGAGAGAGTATCATCTAAGATGAGCTTCTCATTG